AAAGAAAATTGGCCTAGTGGGGTTGAGAGATGGCTCAGAGGTTAAGAATGCTGACAGCTCTTCCAGAGGTCCTGAGTTCAATTCCCAGCAAACATATGAGATCTGGTGCCCTCTTCTGGCCTGCAGGCAAACATGCAGGCAGAACACTGTATACATAATAAATAAATAAATCTTTTAAAAAAATACCCTGGACATCAAAAACAAAAACAAAAAACATAAAACAAAAACCCAACTTAAAAATGGGGTACAATACATCTTACTCCTGTCCTCCTGTCAGAATAGCTAAAATCAAAAACATCAATGACAGTTTATGCTGGAGAGGATGTGGAGATTCCTCAGGAAAATGGGAATGAGTCTACCACAAGATCCAGCAATTCCACTCTTAAGAATATACCCAAAAGATGCACATTCATACAACAAGGACATCTGTTCCATTATGTTCATAAGAGCATTATTTGTAATAACCAGAACCTGGAAGCAACCTACATGCCCCACAACTGAAAAGTGGATAGAGAAATGGATTACTACTCAGTGAAAAAACAATGGAATCTTGAAATTCTCAGGCAAATGCATGACACTAGAAGAAACCATCCTGAGTGAGGTAACCCAGTCACAAAAAGAAAAACATGGTATGTACTCACTCATATATGGATTTTAGACATGGAACAGGGGAGTGCCAGCCTACAATCTCACCACCAGAGAGCCTGGGAAACAGGGAGGACCCGATGAGACACATGCCTGTTATCTCAAGTAGGGGAATTTGACAGGATCTTCTGAGCAGATTGGGAGCATGGGAGGAGGGGAGAGGGAGCTGAGAAAAAGAGAGGGGGAGAAGATGAGGGGAGAGAAGGACATGGGGGAGCAGGAAGGTTAAGTTGGGGGAAGAATAGAGAAGAGCAGGATGAGAGATACCATAATAGAGGGAGCCATTATAGGTTTGCGGAGAGATCTGACACTAGTGAGATTTCCACAGATAGACAACGATGACACCAATTGGCAAACTAAGTAATAGTGGAGAGGCTACCTTGAATGCCCTTGCCTGAAAATGACTACCTTATACGCCATCCTAGAACCTTCATCCAGTGGCTGATGGAAGCAGAGGCAGACACCCACAGCTAAACACTGAACTGAACTCCTGTAATCCAGTTGCAGAGAGGGAGGAGTGATGACCAAAGGGGTCAAGACCAGGCTGGAGAGACCCACAGAAACAGCTGACCTGAACAAGGGGGAACTCATGGACCCCACACTGATGGCTGAGAGGCTAGCATGGGACTGATACAGACACCCTAAATTTGGGTGTCATTGAGGAGGCCTCAGCAATCTATAGGGCCTTGAATAGTAGACCAGTATTTATCCTTGGCATATAAATGAACTTTGGGAGCCCATTCCACATCAAGGGATGCTCTCTCATCCTGGACACATGGGGAAGGACCTAGGCCCTGCCCCTGATGAAATGACAGACTCTGAATATTCCCCCATGGAGGGCCTAACCCTCCCTGGGGAGCAGAGTGGGGATTGGGTGGGGGCTAGGGGTGTTGGTGGGGGGCCGGGGAGGAGGGGAGGGAGAGGGAGCTGGGATTGACATGTAAAGCAAGCTTGTTTCTAATTTAAATTATAAACAAAAGATAAAAAAATAGGGTTGAGTCTTAAAAAATGGGGTACAATAATAAGCGGAGTATTCTCAAAAGAGGAAACACAAATGGTTGAGAAGCATTTAAAGACATCTTCAACATTCTTAGTCATCAGGGACTTGGAAATCAAAACTACTTAGAGATTTTATCTTACACAAGAATGGCCAAGATTAAAAAAAAAAAAAAGACAGTTAAGCTGGTGGTGACGTGGAGTAAGGGGAACACTTATCCATTTCAGGTGGGAATGCAAACTTTGGAAATTAGTGTGATGGTTCCTCGGGAGACTGGGAGTAGATCTATCCCAACATCCAGCTATACTACTCTTGGATATATACCCAAAGAATGCCTCATCTTACTACAGAGTCATTTGCTCAGCCATGTTCAGTGTTGCTGTGTTCATCATAATAGCCAGAATTTGGAAAGAGTCTAATGTCCATTGACAGACGAATGTATAAAGAAAATGTGGTGCATTTACACAATGAAATATTACTCAGCTGTTAAAGAAATGAAATTTGCAGGTAAATGGATGGAGTTAGAAAAAAATCATCCTGAGTGATGGTATATATTTGCTTATATATGGATGTTAGCTGTTAATCTTCAATAAACAGGCTTTACTCCACATAACTGCAGAGGTTAGGTACAGAGTAAGGGACTAGGGGGTACGATGAATCTCCCTAGGAAGGAGAAACAGAATAGATAATTATAGACTGGAGGGACACTGGAATGGTAAGATCAAATGGGGAGAGGAAGTGAGAAGAAGTGAGGAGGGAACTGGGAAAGAGACAATTAAAACCAAGGGCCATTTGAGGGGTTGCACGGGCAACTAATACAGCAGAAAGACCATAAAATATTATATAATTAGAATAGATCATACGAAAAAACTATTTCAATTTTTAAAAACTCACATGAATACAGAAAGAGTTGGAAATACAAACAGCAGTGTGAAATGAACTCTCTGAAGAGACTTCCTCTTAATAAAGACCTGCCAGACTGCTGTGGTCTGAGTAGAATTCACAATTTTATAGGTCAAAGCTAACGTTATCTGGGGATACATTTAGTTCCTTTTAGTAGCCATTTCATCGCCATTTTTGCATCTGACCTAACATTTTTATGACTTTTAGATAACATTATTGGAATGTGTCTCTATGTTTGATGATTACCCTTCACAAACTCCAAAAGGAAACATGTAAATCCTATCAATCCCCTACCTTGCCACAGCCTGTCTACCTGATAAACCCTTGTGCAGCTAGGAATAGAGATTGTTCATGACTTTGTTTTCTTGCCTAACATACATAGGTCCCTGGGTTTGATCCCCAACACAAAATAAAAATAAAATTCATGTAACCTGCTGGGTGTTGGTGGTGCATACATTTAATCCCAGCATTTGGAAGGCAGAGGCAGGCTGACCTCTGTGAGTTTGAGGTCCTCCTGCTCTACAGAGCAAGTGCCAGGACAGGCTCCAAAGTTACACAGAGAAACCCTGTCTTGAAAAACCAAAACAACAACAACAACAAAATCCATGTAACTTTTCCATGGTAGAATATTTCATTAAATGTAACTTGCATCCACTTTCCTGGGCCATTGCCATTCATACATAATGCAAAATGAAGTATCTTATTTACTTGAAATAGTTGTTTTAGGTCAACATCAATAACTAGAGTATTTGGGAGCTGGAGCAATAGCTCAGCAGTTAAGAGTACTAGCTACTCTTCCAGAGGAACTGGGTTTGATGTCCAGCGTACACAACTGTCTGTAACTCCAATTCTAGGGGATCTGACACCCTCACACAGACACACATACAGGTAAACCACCAACCTATGTAAAATTAAGGGAAAATATTAAAGATTAAAAATCACCACTTGTATTTCTATATGAACAGGACTACATATATATCCACACATCTCCATAAGCAAATGCTCAGAAACAGTGTGGGTGCAGACAGATTTTCTAGGAGAGAAAATGATCTGACTGGGCAGAGAAAACAGTATCCTCCTCCTTTATCAGCAGGCATTCAGGGTTGATAGCTTAAGGAGTACCTCTACTAGTTTTCTTTTGCCCAAAGGTTGCACATCAGGAACTTAGTCCTTTACACTAATGTTCTCAGCTGTGAGTCACCCAGCGAGATGTTAAGCAATGGCTATTGGAATATTTAGTTTCACAACTGGAGAAAGGAAAGTATTGACTCTGAGTGGCTTAGAGAATTATTTTAGCATCGTATAGCACATAGAATAGTCTAGCACACAAAAATACTTTCTTAGCCTAAATATTAATAGTGATGAATCCCAGAAAACTCTAACCCTAAGCTTTTGGGACTTAGGTAAAAACAACATATTTAAATCTAGTCGTCATTTCTTTTCAGTGAAAAGACATTCCTGAAAGCTACTTTTCAGAGAGACTGATAGGTGGAGAAGAATCGGTGGCATGCCAGTACCCTCAGAAACGGCAGGGGTTGCCTGCTGAAAAATAAGGAGAGAGGGCTAAATGCTGTTTTACAAATCTGCAAACACGTTGGAAGATATGCACCTTGGAAATGAGAAGATACTCATTGAAGTTATCCAGGGCCTATTTTTCCTAGGCAAGAGGTTGGATCTCTGTGAGTTTGAGGCCAGCCTGGTCTACACAGTTAGCTTCAGGACAGCGGGGTACACAGTCTCAGAAAACGGAAAGGGGAAAAAGGGAGTGGTGGTTTAGGGTGGACACTGTGGCAAACGCCTTTAAGCCCAGAATTTGGGTGGCTGCCGCGAAGGCTCCCAGATCAGTCGGGTCTATATTGAAGGTTTGAGGCTATCCCTGGCTACATAGTGAGAAAAACAACAAAAAACCAAGTGGTGCGCTATTAGGGTAAGCGGTCCAATCAGAGCACAGATGCTCAAATAAGAGAAAGCTAATCTCGAGACCCCGAATTGCAAAAGACTTTCGTGTGGAGTCAGAAGTTATTTGTGTGGCTTCTAAGGGAAAGCTCCGTGATGCACTGAGGAATAATTGAGGAATGGCGCTTGTCGCCACAAACCAAAGCGGTTCCGTCCCCACAAGGAAAGCTTGAGTCGCCACTTCAAACTGTCGCAGGCACCCAACAGGGCAGGTAGAGGGCGTGCGAAATAAGCTAAAGCGCCGGACCGAATCCAGCTTGCCCACTACTACCCGGAAACTCGGCCGAAGCCGCTCGTGTTCACTACGGTGGCCGCTAAGGCCCCGCCGCTGACAGAAAGTCAGGCGGGCAGGAGGGCACTTGCGGATTTCCTAGAAAGGCTCGGCACTCCCCCAGCCGTTCTATTGGCTGAGAAATGGTAGGGCCCGCCTCTCTGAGTAGCCCATTGGTCGTGCGTCCCATCGCAGTTGGGCGGGGCCTGGCCCACCATTGCATCAGCTGGTTCCGGCTAGGCCACGTGGCGCACGCGCAGTGTGGAATTGCCGGTCCTCGCCGCCGCCTTAGGGTCTTCTTTAGGGTAGCTCTCGGGTTTTGTCTGTCTCTCAGCGGTCCTCCCATGTCGGAGGAGAAGGTCAGCAGCCCTTCGGGGAAGATGGACGGCGAGAAGCCGGTGAGCAGGCGCGGAGGCTGGACGTGCTCTGGTGCCGGGCGGGAGTGGATAGCAGCAGGGTCCTGCCGGCGTTGGGGAGCCTCAGCGGGCAGGGGTGGTCGGGAGTCGTCCTCATCCCGGGTCCTGCGAACTGAGACTGAGCAGCTTGCTCAGAGCTAGACAGTAACCGTGGGGGGCTTGGACTCCCACACATTTGTATCCCTAAAGTAGGCGGAAAGAACATTGCAGAACTTTTAAAGTCCTGAACTTTTGTGGAGCAGAAAGCCCTAGTTTAGGAGGGAAAATGACAGTCCCCGAGACCAGATCCAGTTTGACCCAAGACTGGGTGCTTTATGATAAGTAAATGGTGTAGGTTAGATGGCTCCATTTGACAGACTGCTTGGAAATTAGGCTGGGTGCTGGAGGCGTCCTAGATAACAGATAACTTCACACATGTCCCCGTTAAAGCCAACAAATGTTCTGAGAATTTGTTTGCCCTGGCATTTAACCGGACAGCGCAGGTGGCAAGACGAGTAAGATCGATTCTCTGACTTTGTGGGTGGGTGGGGGCATAGAGTACAAGACTGGAAAATCCAAGTTCTGTGTGATCATCTCAGTTGCGTTACAGAGGAAGCATCGAACTTGGTATGGCCAGACTGTTTCACTGTATTTGGAAAATTGAGGTCAGGGGAAGCAGGCGGGACAGGGCTGTCCAGGTACAGAGGGTGAGTTGTGTCTCAGCTGTATTGGAAGATGCAGGAGAGACACGGGAAATAGAGATCGAGGATATCAGTGGTCTCTACATGCAGGGTTTTAATCAGTGAAGTGCTGTATATGAACTGTGTTGTCAAAACTGACCTGGCATTGGGGTTTAAGGAGAGGGGAGGCCCTATGACACAGGCTGTTTGAGTAGTCCAGGTGAACATCCCTAAGGTCTTCGGCAAGAGGACTTTCCATCCAGGACATAAAATGTTTATGTGTGCATTCTAAACTACAGATCTAAGGTGATGAGTGATAACTACATGTAGATGTTGTTTCTTTTACCCTTTCGCTCCCTTCAGGACTGTCCTTAAATCCTACTCTTAAACCCACTCCTGTTACTTCAGAGTCCCCTGGATTCTTAAGGTTTGCATGAGGCTAGGAGTTAGCCAAGATAATCACTCCCTGAGCAGGCTTGTAGGAAAACGTTAGATAGAGATTTTGTGAATAAAATTACTTGAAAGTAAAATGTGGTATTATTGCCTCCATAATAATCAGGTGTCTTAAATTTTGGAAAGCTTACTTGGTGGGGTACAGATCTAACCCAAAAGTTCTCTTGTCACTGAGCTACATCTCCAGCTCCACAGGCCAAACCTTTTATTCCTTTCACTCTTAATCTTCACAACAAGGCCGTCTGAAGTAACATAGTTACGCCCAGTTCACAAGAGGGAAAACGGAGCCTAGAAGTGAACTGATGAGTGATCACACAGCCCACTTAGGCTCCCTGGAGCTGCCTGTGGGCTGAATAGGTAGGTAGGTAGTATACTCCCCCGCCCCTGCAATAACTCATGTTGACCAAGGTGTATAATTTCTTGTTGCTTTGCATTTACTACAGGTCCAAGTCTAAAGGGAAAGTTACAGAAACTTTGGGGAAGTGTACATCCATAAGTGGCCTTCTACTTTTTAGGGCTTGTTTTTATTACAAGTTGTCTAAATTGTTTGTACCAGTGGTGGAATTTCCAGTCTTTCAGAATAAGATTGTCCTTTTCAATTTTTGTTTTATTTAGCTAATGGCTTTCGTAGCTGCAGTTTCGGGGAAAATGTCAGATTAGGTTGAAATATGAGAACTTCTCTTTTGCTTTTTTAGGTGGATGCCAGTGAGGAGAAGCGAAAGGAAGGAGGCAAGAAGAAGAAGGATGGAGGTGGAGATGGAGGCCGAGCGGAGGTAAAACAAGCTCCCACTGTGGGGTCTCTAAGGCGGGAGGGAAGGAGGGGGAAAGACTGTGCTTGTACCCATTCGGCACATGTGGGAGCCAGAGGGCAGCTTGTAGACTGTCCTTCTGCATTCTGGGTGCTGAGGATACAGTGCAGATGTTCGCTTGGTAGCCCCTGTGTAAGGATTCCTATGGTCACTGAAGGCAGGTAGCCCCTGTGTAAGGATTCCTATGGTCACTGAAGGCAGGTAGCCCCTGTGTAAGGATTCCTATGGTCACTGAAGGCAGGTAGCCCCTTTGTAAGGATTCCTATGGTCACTGTAGGCAGTTAGCCCCTGTGTAAGGATTCCTATGGTCACTGAAGGCAGTAAGGTCACACTAGGTGGAAAACGAAGAGTTAGGAAAGAGCCTGAGAGGGAAAAAGGTTGCAAGGACATGACAGTGCAGAGGGACAAGTGCATCATTGTTAGATGAGCTCACAGTGGATTTAGATAGAAACATGAGAGATCAAAAGCATAGGGAAATCACTAGGCTGCCAAGACTGAATGCTGACTTTCTATTTCTTTAAGTGAGGTGTGAAAGGGGTAAGAGCTTAGTGTTAGGTTCCTACAAGTACATAAAGAGCCAAACAGAATCCAGTCCCTTGATTCCTTTCTTATTGCTTGGATCTGCTGCTTCTGGGGTCTGGTTTACTTATATCCAGAAAATTATTCAGTAGCTGGGCTCAGTGCCACAAAACTGGCAGTTCAAAGCCATCCCAGAATGCAGTTGGTTCCTGGTGCTTGAGGAGGTGTTTTATGCGTGTTGTTCTGTGGTTTTGAACTTGAACTGCTATAAACTGTGCCTTGCATTTTGCATTTAGTCATTGTAGTTTTATTGGGAACCTTGGAAAGCTATAGGAGCACAAAGCACTAAGCTTTTTTGAAGTGACGCCACCAATGGACTTTAAAGAGCTGGTTATAAAGCTGGAATAGTGATACACACCCTTAGTTCCCAGTGTTTCGGAACCAGAGGAGAATGCCGAGTTGAAGACCAACCTAGGATACATAGTGAGACCCTGTTTTAGAAAAACAAAACACAAACCCTGTTTGTATAATGCCGAGTTGCTAACTTTAGAACCATTTCTGTTTACAAAATGGCTTTACAGGTGACATAGGACGGAGTTGCCTGTGTTCAGCCAATCCCTGCTCATTTTACACCAGTGTCTGTGGGAAGAGTTGTTGATAGTGAATCTTAAGATTTGCAAGTAAAGAGTAATACGCATGCCCCTTAATTTCCTTGTTATACTTTGGGTGAAATTGTGTGTATTGCCCTGTTACAGATTGAAACATGGCTTAGTAATAGAAAACAAGTAGTCCAATGACTCTTCTGAGAATTTTAGATGGATATGTGATTATTCTGTGTTTTAGATTATCTTTACAAATAAAGGGTGGGCAGTGATGTGTTCACCACCTTGCCTTCTCTGTGCTCCCATCATTTGCAAACTGGTCATGGTGACCTTCTAGGGACATACAGGCTTTACCCATCTGCATTTCCAGGGTGTGGCATGGTGCACTTGCTCAGTTAATATTGTGTAAATTTAACTAAGTTATTGTGCTTATAAAATGCCAAGTAGATACAGAAATAGACTGTAGTAAGACATGGAGGGTTCGTGGGAAGGGATAATCAAATACACATTGGATAGGCTGAGGTTGGTTTCATCTTTGTGCAGTGATGGGCTATGGCCATTGTTAGTTCAGTGGTTTTTCATTTGTAGTTATGGAGTCCCATGATAATCTGGTGGGATTGTAGGCGTGTGCAGTCAGGCTTGGCAATTTCTATATATGCACACATGTAGAAAGTCATAGTAAAAGCAAGCCATTTCTTTATTGCTGTTAATGACCATGTTACTACCAGGGCATCATGCCTTGAACCTGTAATCCTAGCCTTGTGGGTAGGGTTGAAGCAGGAGGATCATGAGTTCAAGGCTGGAGGAGGCTACATAGTATGCTTGAGATCTCCAAAGAGGTGGTGGGGGTAGGTACTAGGGAGAATGATCTATCTTGCTATCATTTGGAGGTAGAATTATCACCTTTACTACTTGCTTGAGCAATAGAAGTCAGATTTTTTTTTGATTGCAATCTTTTTCTTTGTCAGTGGTGTTTACATTAAATATTCTAGCTAATTATATTGAGTATATGGGCAATGGTGGTGTGTGCTATTTTAAATAACCTGAGAAAGATGACCATGGCATCTCTGAATTGGATAAATTAGTTTTCTTTAGTATTATCCTCCAAGTCAGATAAAGTTTTGGTTGGCCTAAAATCCAACCAGCTGCACAGAGTGCCCCTGATTAGGGTTCTAACCATAAGGTACTTCATTGTGTATCCGTGCAGTATTGCTCATAGATGAATTTACAATCATTTAGTTAGAAAAGGTCTTGAGTCCGACCATGCCAGGCATGCAACTATTGGTAGAGTGCTTGTTGAGCATGCAAGAAACCTAGGTTTTGGTCCCAAGGAACACATAAGCCAGGCATATAATACACATTTAATCCTAGCCCTCTAGGTGTTAGGAAGATCTTGAGTTCAATGTCATCCTTGAGACCTGTCTCTAGAAGCAAAGAAGGAAAGCCTTAGGAGGGCATCTTAAGAGAAAAAAGTCACCGGAACAAACTGTAAATTATAAAATGGTAATTGTTTATCAGTTCAAGATGTTGGCAGCTCAGCTGTTTATTTTTTATGTTTTTTTTTATTTTTGAATAAAACTCAGTCACCTATTTTCTTCACCTACCCTTACTTAGGACTAGTAATGCCAGTGTTTATTGTGATCTGTGAGCCAGTCTGAATTTGTCATCATGGATTTTTGTATTATATACTATTATTGTTTCTTAAAGCAAGTATTGTTAATTACTTATAGCTTTGTTTGTCCATTTACAGTTGAATCCTTGGCCTGAATATATTAACACACGCCTTGATATGTATAATAAGCTAAAAGCAGAGCATGATTCTATCCTGGCTGAAAAGGCAGCAAAGGATAGCAAGCCAATTAAAGTCACTCTGCCCGATGGCAAACAGGTGGACGCAGAGTCCTGGAAAACCACACCATATCAGATTGCATGTGGAATTAGGTAAGCACTACACCTCCTTTGACCTTCTATGGTTATAATGTAACTAAATGTTCATTTATTTTTGCCAGGTATATCCTGATAATACTCTTATGTTTCTGCTCAAGGTGTTTAATTTACTTGAGATCTTTGAAAATTAAGGTGATGTGGAACTTTATAGTCCAGACTTAGTGTTAATTTCTGAAGGTGCATGGCTTGGGTGCACTGTGTTGTATTTTAATGCATACATCACCTGGGGACTCTTGGGAAGCAAATGCTAAATGTGGCACCTCTGTTTTTAATCATTCACTTCTCAAAGCAGTCGTTTTTAATAACTAGCCTTCATCAAGCCTTGCCAGGTACCAACTTTTTCCTCTTACATTTTAAGTCAAGGCCTGGCTGACAACACCGTTGTCGCTAAAGTGAACAAAGTTGTTTGGGACCTGGACCGCCCGCTGGAGACGGATTGCACTTTGGAGCTTCTCAAGTTTGAGGATGAGGAAGCACAGGCAGTAAGTGTCTCTCCAGTGTCTGCTAGTGTACAGGAAAGGCTGGAAATGAGTTTTGTCTCACTGTGCTGATAGGTGGCTCGGTGGTTTTCAGCTGTAACCTGGAGGCCGCAGTTGTTTATGGACATCTCTCACTATTTGTGGCTTTGGTTGTAAATCTTGAAGACATTGCTTTGGGTGTATCCTGTCTGTGTCTTTCAAACAGTAACTCGTCATGTATCTGCCAAGACTAAAGCCATCTCATGTTTCCTTACATTCTCAGGTATATTGGCACTCCAGTGCCCACATAATGGGCGAGGCCATGGAAAGAGTCTATGGTGGATGTTTATGTTACGGCCCACCAATAGAAAATGGGTTCTATTACGATATGTACCTTGAAGAAGGGTAAGTTAAGACACTGGATGAAGGGGAAATCTGAGTGGCCGTGGGTGTGCATGGAACTTTAAAGTATTGTCAGTGAAGGAGACAATCTACAGCTCACAGTATAAAGCTGCTGGTTACGGTTACTGACAAAAGTTGAAATATTGAGAAGTATGTGTAGTGAAATCTCTGGGATTGTGCCCAGAGGCTTGTTGGGAAATGAATCGGGCTCTCCTTTTCCTTTATGCTGTGATGGAGTTTGGGGTTTGTTACTGGTGAGAAAATTCTCCACATGGCAGAAGCATAAGTTTGTGAACCTACAAATTTAATTTATGAAAAATCTAATGTTAAATCCTAATGTACGATGCAAGGCCCTATTTCAAAGTAGTTGAGAGAAAAAAATCCCTTCACTGATTTAAATGGAATATGGAAAGATTGTGTTTTCTCCTTCAGGGGTGTGTCCAGCAATGATTTCTCTTCTCTGGAAACTTTGTGTAAGAAAATCATTAAAGAGAAACAAACTTTCGAAAGATTGGAAGTGAAAAAGGAGACGCTACTAGAAATGTTTAAGGTAATCTGAGCATAACCAGTTTGACTTTATTAGCCAGTCATTGAAGTATTGCATCAGAGTTTCCTGTAGAGAAACGGAAGTGTCTTCAAATCACGAAACACGAGCATGCTCTTAAAAGTGTTCTTCCAGGTGCACGTTTAGAGATAAACAGGAGAGGCCAATGCGATGTCTTATTTCTCATTTTCAGTACAACAAGTTCAAGTGCCGGATACTGAATGAAAAAGTGAATACTCCAACCACAACTGTCTATAGGTGAGAATTTTGAATGCTGTTGAATGCAGCTCATTTGTTAATTTGCCTTTGCTGAAATTCCTTTTATTTGCTCTTTAGATGTGGCCCTTTGATAGACCTCTGCCGGGGTCCTCATGTCAGACACACTGGCAAGATTAAGACTCTAAAAATACACAAGGTAAAGCGTGCTGTGAATTGTTGGCAGTACTTATGACTCAGTTTCCATTGATTTCTCCTTTCTAACAATTTGTTTCAGTTCATTAGACGGAGGGTCACAGGTTTTGTTTTTAGTGCTGTATAGTGACTGGTGTATGTGTCTTCTGTGCCCCAGTATTTATTACCAGGCTAGCATAAGGGGACAGGGGTTTGGAGGAGTCACAGAATCTGGCAGTCGGCAGTCACAGCCCATCGTGACTTCAAAAGCTTTGAGACTCGGTGTTGGAGTTTGACTAATGATCACTCCAGTTGCTTTTTTTCATAGAACTAATCCTGTCAGTTTTATGCTGACTTAGAAATGCTGTAATTATGTGTGTTCTCTGAGCCCTGAGAATAACCACATCCATTCCAGGTGCCTTGTAGTGTTTATGGGTTCCTTTCCATTTGGTGTCGTGATTTTGCGGGAGGAGCCCTGTGCTCATGGGATTGTGATCTGGGGAGAGAACCTTCCTGAGGAAGGCAAGCAGAGAATTCTGTGCTGTGGAATGAGTCCACCCACTTGGGGTAGACCTCAAAACAGTGGGAGACGTGTCTTAGTAATGTGTGTGTTATATGTAGTTTCCTTGTCAAAGAAATTAGTATGGATTTGCTTTTTAAGATGATTGTGAGGAATAATACACTCTAAGTGTTGTGTCATTTTTGTCCTTGCTCTTAGAATTCTTCCACTTACTGGGAAGGCAAGGCGGACATGGAAACCCTCCAGAGGATTTATGGCATTTCATTCCCCGACCCCAAACTGCTGAAAGAGTGGGAGAAGTTCCAAGAGGAAGCCAGAAACCGAGATCATAGGAAGATTGGGAGGGTACGTTAAAGAACAGTGATGTATCTAGTTTGAGTTTTCCTCCAATTCATTTGTGAGCCTGCCCAGCGCTAAGTTTCTTTGGAAGAGGAGCTCAGGCTTCAGGCTCCTTAGTCTGGGAGCCCATCGTGTCTATCCTTCTGAAACCTTCAGAGTCCATCTCAGTTACTGTTACCGAGAACAGGGCTACTGACCACAGCTTCCCGTAAACACCATTTCAGAGCTGGCAGAACTAGACTTTGGAGACCCATCTCATGGGCTACTTGTGACACTGCCGAGTTGAATCTGAGTGGTCAGTCTCCCTGTTTCTCCAGAAGTATGGCAGTCACCAGTGGCTTCTGCGCTCTTTTTCTTTACTCTAGTTGCCGCTGGCCTCATGTTGGAGTTACATTTAATTCTTTAAACTTTTTTCCTCTGTAAAATGAAGTTTACTGCTAGAGGGCTTAGCTGCTGGAAATAAATGACTGCAATGGGAAAGCAGGCAGTGATTGGCAGGTTCCATCTCCCTGTCTTTCATTATCAGGGTGTTTTCCCTTTCTCTTTCCTGCAGCTCATATGCAAGCAAAGAGCAAAACAACAAATAACAAAACCCAGATCTCAGAGCTCTGGGAATTTCTATTGCATGCTACTGTTTCCTAACCCTTACTGGACTACTGACTGTCAGAGAGGTGACAGATTTGTGCTAAATTGTTAATCATTTGCAATTCTATACCACTAAGTTGTACCCAAGAAACAATGGCATGTTTTCTTTACTATTGGCACAGTTGAAATTTGGGACACCAATCATTTATACATTTATAAACAATGTTTTGCTCTTTTATCCAGGACCAAGAGCTGTATTTCTTCCATGAACTCAGCCCTGGAAGTTGCTTTTTCCTGCCCAAAGGAACCTACATTTATAATACACTTATGGAATTTATCAGGGTAAGCTTTATTTGTTACTGTCTTCTGAAGAGTTAAGATAGATGATGATTTTATTAGCTAGGATTTGCTAAAAGAAAGATAAATCTCTACTAGAGGGGAAAAGAAATATAAATGTTTCTTTTAAAACAAAGATGCTCGGTGGTTACGAGTGATTGCTGCTCTCCCAGAGGAGCCAAGTTCGGTTCCCCAGGACCCACTCAAGTGTCTCACTCAAGCTCCAAAGGATCTGACACCCTCTGCTGGCCTCAGCAGGCACCTGCATACATATAGCCTCCACTCAAATAACACACGTACATATACACACGTAAGAAGTTTGTAAAAAGTTGGGACTGCACAGATGGCTCAGTGGTTCAGAGTAATTGCTGCTCTACCAGGAGGCCTGAGTTTTGAGTCAAGCAGCTTTCAGCCATGCAGCTCACAGCTCCAGAGGATATAATGCCCTCTTCTGGTTCCTGTGGGTTCTTACCCCCAGGTGGCACAAATTCACATAGACACACACTCATGCGCATGAATAAATTTTTTAGAGTCATTCTAATGTGTGGTTTTGTTCATGGAAACAGGCAGAGAGTAGCTGCTGCTGTGTGTGAAGGGTCAGTAGCCTTTCACCTGGGACTGTGTTGTGTCTCTTGAAGCATTTGTGTTTTCTTTTTCAATTATGAACTATTTCAGGCATATATGTAAAGAAAACAGTTAGGTTTACTTGCCACCCAATTTAACATATTTGCATTGGGCTATATTTATTCACAGTTTTTGTAAAAAAGAAAAAAAAAGGTAGTATGTAGTGTTTTATTTTTAAGAAAGACCTCTTTGAGGGTTATACAGTTGGTGTGGCTCCTTATCCATGTGTTTTACATCTCCACATATAAGTACGTTTAGCATTTACTTGTGCTTGCGTGTGCCTCGGTTCACATGTATGGTCTTGTTGTGTATACTCACTGCATATTGTATTCTTCCGCGCCTACTGTGGAACGCCTGTCCTATCACGGTAGCTTATGCACTTACTACAGTGATACATGTTCTGTGTCTCTGCACCGCCAGCCCTGCCATGGTAGCATTACTTCTGGGAGCTTGCGTGCGCCTCCCTGCTTCCTCTTTGGTGCACCACCTACAGACGGAGTTTCTGAGTCATGATGTGTGTGCCTGGGTAGTGTCAAATTGCTCTGTGATTCCTCTCCCTCCACAGAGGTGAGCACTGACTTCCCTGTATGTGTGTTCTGCTCACAGAGTGAATATAGGAAAAGAGGGTTCCAGGAGGTCGTCACTCCTAACATCTTCAATAGCCGGCTGTGGATGACCTCTGGCCACTGGCAGCACTACAGTGAGAACATGTTCTCCTTTGAGGTGGAGAAGGAACAGTTCGCCCTTAAGCCCATGAACTGCCCAGGACACTGGTATCAAGCAGCCTTGTGTTTTTCTTTCTTTTCATTAAGCTTACCTGTATGTATCAGTGTTGAGTATATGGCACGTCTGTGGGATCCTGCAGAGTTCAGGTGAAGGTGTTGGAGCCGCTGAAGTTATGTGGTTGTGAGCCGACCCATATGGGTGCTAGGAACTGAACCCAAGTCTTCTGGAAGAGGAGTGGGCTCTTAACCCTTGAACCATCTATCCAGCCCTGTAGCTTTGCATTGCTCTTAAAGATTTTCCTGTTCTAGATTTCTTTAGCTCCTTTGACAGAGATATCAGTGTAGAACAGAGACTAAGAGAAGGAAGGTCTAAGGAGCAGGGCAGAACACAAGGGTAATAGAATATCTATGCCTTGAAAGCAGAAAGGAAAACTGGTCTCAGAGGGAGACAGGTGAGGGTAGAGAGGAGGAGGAGGAAGTGTAATGCTGTCTACAGTGAAAGTGTCATGGTGAGACCCACTTCATATGCTAATAACTGGAACCTTAGCCATCAGAATAGACTAAAATGCGCATTGTTGTCATAATAGCTTTCATGCTGATTAGCTTTATAGTCAACCAGGACTGGTCCTGGGCTTATAGCAAACAGGCAAAGTGTACTGAAAGTGGGCTTAAATGTGGGGCATAGCAAAGGACCACTATTCCTACCTTTTCTTCCTTCTTTGGAAGGAAATGTGTTTTAGCAGAACCCACTGCTGATGAGTTAATGCCCTTGGGAAATCAATCCTTCCCAGTGCCTCTGCCCCGAATTGTGAAAGGTGGACAGAAAGTAACCTCTGGGAGGCCCAAGAGTGATGCAGATGTACAGTTTGTTCATGTGTGCAGCTCCGGAGGCAGGTGATCCAGGCAGAGGTGCCGAAAGGGAAACACCTTTAAGAAACGGGGTGGTACCCATCAGGGAAACAGCTCAGGTCACTTCACAGCATTCGGTCTCTGATACACTTTGGGCCTGACTAGAGCAAGTGTGATACTAGTTTCCAGTGCTAGAAGTAATTTGTATGCAGCTAAAAATATTTCTTCATTATGAGCCTTTCATTAAATCTTCCCATTAATTGAATGTCGTCTTCATATTAGTGGAAATGCTGAGCATGAGGATTTGGCTTAAAACCTTGGGAATACATTGCTTTATTCTCTCTTAGCCACAGTTAATTGCATTGTAACTCACTTGTCATTATATCATGCAAGTGCTTCTGTTGCTTCAAGCTTGGGACTTGAGAATAATGTTGCTTGTGGCAAACTTAAATCAGTGTGTTTTTGACAGCCTTTCATGCTACTAAATAATATTTGAGGAAGAGTTCTTTCTCGTGAATTTTAAAATGTTCTGTTTTTGTTGTTACTTGTGAAATGCCTCACAAGTGCTAGTCAAGCACTCTGACACAGGACCTTTACCCTTGAGCAGTTAAGTACTACTACTCATGTGTTTTGTGTTGCTTTGCTTTCTCCTTCAGCCTTATGTTTGACCACCGGCCAAGGTCCTGGCGAGAGCTGCCTCTGCGGTTGGCCGATTTTGGTGTGCTTCATAGAAATGAGCTCTCTGGGGCTCTCACGGGACTCACTCGGGTTCGAAGATTCCAGCAGGATGACGCACACATATTCTGTGCCATGGAGCAGGTCTGTGTCCTGTGGGGCAAAATCCTCTAACAGACGTGTTTAAAAGTGGGAAAAATAACACTTTTTTTTCCTTTCTTAAGATTGAGGGTGAAATCAAAGGTTGCTTGGATTTTCTTCGCACAGTATATAATGTCTTCGGATTTTCGTTTAAATTGAATCTTTCTACTCGCCCAGAAAAATTCCTTGGAGATATTGAAATATGGAACCAAGCTGAGAAAGTAAGTGATGTTTTTAGTGTGCTTGAGAACTCACTCACACAGTTCCGGGAAGTCTTCTTAAGTGGCTACAAGCAAAAGAAAATGGCAGTATTTCCGGTGTTTCAGTGGGCTGATGATTTTATGTATGCCTCAGCATTGACTGGGTGTTTTCATACTCCATCAATTACTAAGCTGACTCTAAATGGGGGGCTTTGGTTTGTTTTGGAGGATGCCCCACACAAATACACCACAGACAGTAGGACTCAAGAAAACACCCAGGAGACTTTTAGGCAGGTAGAAGGAATGGTGCAGAGGAATAAAATTTCAAATTGCTTCTGCTTTATCTGTAGCAACTTGAAAACAGTTTGAATGAGTTTGGTGAGAAGTGGGAACTGAATCCTGGTGATGGCGCTTTCTATGGTCCAAAGGTCAGTCCTCCAGAATATTCGGGTAATGTGGATTTCAGTTATGGGTAAAGAAACATCACTTTAAATTGGGGAAGCAAAGAAAACTAAGAGCATCTCATCATAATTCTGTTTGCTTTTCAGATTGACATACAGATAAAAGATGCCATCGGCCGCTACCACCAGTGTGCGACCATCCAGCTGGATTTTCAGTTGCCCATCAGGTTTAATCTTTCTTACGTAAGGTGAGTTTCTGGTGTCTGCTCTGAGCTTCAGGCCGTATGTAGGACAACATATATATTAAGATAACACAAATTGCTCTTTTCTGTAGCCATGATGGTGATGACAAGAAGAGGCCCGTGATTGTTCACCGAGCCATCCTGGGGTCGGTGGAGAGAATGATTGCCATCCTCACGGAAAACTATGGGGGCAAGTGGTAAGGTCCTTCTGTGTTTTCCTTCCTGTTAAATTGTCTAAAGGAATGCCTTGTGCTTGTGAAATAGGAAGGGAGGTCCATGACAAGTGTTCACTAAAAGGCGTTGAACTCTGACCCACTATTTTAGTATTAGTACCTGTTGGGGTTAGAAGTGTGGTAGTTCAGAGTGAGACCCGTGTAAATTCTCAGGATTTATTAGTAATTATTTTTTAATCTTCAGACTTGATTTGTCTGAATGCTACATAAGGCTGGAGAGATGGCTTAGCAGTTAGAGCACTGGCTGTTCTTACAGACGACCTCAGTACATACTTTGTTTTTGATTGCTCTCCTGGCTTTGTGATTTTTTTCACCTGAATTAATGGATAGGCTTTTGGATTATCTTGTTCAGTTTTGCTGATGAGAATAAGCAACGTTTTGCCACCCTTAAGAAGCCAAGCAGTTTTTCATTGAAAAAGAAGTAAGCAAAACAGGCCGAGCCACTTGCCAGTGGCTCCATCTAACCCTGAAGTGCAGTCAAAAGGAGGCCAGGCTTAGAAGCACCCGTGATAGAGTCTTTCACAGGAAGAGTATAGGGCTAAAACTTTTGGAAAGTTATGTATTACTGTCATTTTTGGTAATTAGATGTGGTTACTTCAGATGTCACATTTTCATACTTGTCAACGAAGTAATCCTGTTTCAGTTAAAGGTCACAAAATCAAACAGGTCCCTGGCACACATTCTCTGGTGAGCTCATTCTTTAACCTGAACTCAGGATACACGGAAGGGGGGGGGGCACATTTAGTGTAGAATTTATTACTGCTTCAGCCTCAATGCTCGAGGCAACCAACCAGGTACTGTGGCTGTCAGCTTTGGTACAGGAGATGAGGCCCATTCCTGCCATCTCAGTGTGTTTTACCATCCACTGAGCAGTACAGATCTTACATACTTAGGGCTAGTTTCCTTCTTCCCTTGTCTTTAATAGTTTTTCTTTTCAAAGCCAAGTTGTAAAGGCCTGAAAGTAACTTGTACTGCTTTCAGGAAAAGATACTCCAAGTTAAGCAGTCTTTCCTTCTTGAATGTGCCCAAGCCCACACTCACTGTTGTCACTTCTGCCGCAGGCCTTTCTGGCTCTCGCCTCGCCAGGTGATGGTAGTTCCAGTGGGCCCAACATGTGATGAATATGCCCAAAAGGTAATCCTTAAGTAGGAGTTTGCTTTACATTTGAATCTGGTTTTAGGCTTTTTGCAATGGGAATCTTATTGTAGAGTCCATGATGGCTCTGGACTCAGTTTTCTGTCTTAGTCCCCTGAATAGTTGGGGTTGCCAGCATGTGCCACAACACCCATCCTGGTAACTGTGCTTTTAAGCTTTCGGGTTGATAAGCCATATATCCTTGTCAGGTGAAGTGCTTATTGTATCAAAGAGTGTAACTTTTCCATGTCTGATAGGCCTGGATGTTATACTTTGGAGCTTTGTCTTATTGGTTCCCTGACCACATGTGTTCACTTAGTGTTTTAGGTATACTTGTATATTTTAGTATTTGGTGTTATAAAGAAATGAATTAGCAAACAGCTTAAACTGTATTATTACATTAGAATTACATATCCCACTGAGGTGCCGGATATTTGCTGAGTTATTCGTTTGTTAATGCAGATGTTTTCAGTGACTTGAAATTCCTCTATTTTATTGTTGTGGCAGGTCAGGGTCTTGCCCCTCTAGCAAATGTGTGAACAGTCCTGTGGACTTTGCACCTCAAAGAACAGTCTGTTCTGCTTTACTGGTTGCTCCATGCTAGAGACATACACATGATTAACAATCAGTCAGTGATGAGCCTGGGTGTTGTGGTGAGCCTGTATCCCAGCATCCGGGTGGATGAAGCAGGAGTGCACTCAGCCTGGACTATAGAATGAGGCTCTTAAAAAAAAACAATAGGGGTGGGGAAGCAGTGGCAGATGACTCAGTAAGTTAAAGTACTTGCTAAGCAAGCCTAAGTATGAATTTGATCCTTGGAACCCACATAAAGAAGCCAGGATGTGCACATATGTAATCCCAACACTCCCATAGTGAGATGGAAGGCAGAGACAGGAGAATTGCCTGCAAGCTCGTAGGCCTTTGTAGTCTATAGGACACAGACTGGCAGAAACAAGCCAGACCCTGTCTGTCTCAGAACAAGGTACAAGTGGCCAACAAGGTGGCTCAGCAAATAAGGACACCTGCCACCTAGCTTAATGACCTGAGTCTAGTCCCTGGAACCCCAAGGTAGAAAAAAGAGAACTGACTCCTACAAGTTGTCCTACTCAAATCAAGATGGAAGGAGACAGCCAAGTCCTTGGGAAGCAAGCTTTACTGAAGCCTCGGTAAACGACTTCCTGTTTCCATAAGAACACATGCAGTCCATTGTGGATCTGACCTAAAGTGCATCTTCTCTTTTTCACTCTGGTCTCCATGTGTGTGCCTGACTAACAAACAATAACAGTAAGAGAGAACTTTTTAAATAAAAGTTGATCAGTGAGCAGTATTGTTAGCATCAAAATAGATGGTGATCTTATCTCCAAGTATCAAAATTGTACTCTGAACTCTTGATTTTTTTTGTTTTTTATGAGATAAGGTTTCTCTATTATGTAGCTCTGGCCATCTGGTTGTCCTGGAACTCTCTCTGTAGACCAGGCTGACCTCAAACTCAGAGACCCACCTGCCTCCCGAGTGCTGGGATTAAAGGCGTGCGCCACCACACCTGGGTGTGTACCCAGATCTTAACTCTATTTAAGAAACAAGGGGACATTAAGTCAGTTGATGAGCAGAGCTTTCCTTGTATTGTGTGATAGTTTTGTGTGCAGGCTGACACACAGCTGTTTCCTTTACAGGCATATCAGGAACTTGATGTGATCGTAAAGGGCTTCTTTATGTTTTGTTTCTTTAAAAAAGCTGATTGGTTTGGTTTTCTGAGTACTGATTTTTGTGGGTTTTCTAAACTATTTATCTTACTAGAGAAAAATGTCCCTTTTTGTTCAAGTTCAAACTCATGCATATGGAGCACTGTGACTGTGTTACATCTTTGATTCCAAAGATGTGGTTGTTAACTTTCAAAATGTAAACCCAAAGCATAATTTTGTGTTATCAGTTTTAGTATTTATATTAGCATTGATTTTTAACACATGCATAGTTAAATTCATGAAATACTTTAAATTTTGTAACATAATAAACTATAATTCTGATTCTCAATTGTTACTAGGTACGGCAACAATTCCATGATGCTAAATTCATGGCAGACATTGACCTGGATCCAGGCTGCACCTTGAATAAGAAGATCAGAAATGCGCAGTTAGCACAGTATAACTTCATCCTGGGTAAGAAGGGGAGGTTGCTAACCGTATGGGAGAAGCCGCTGAAATCTGGAGACTTAAAGCTCAATGGATCTTGGTTATGAATGACCTAGGTTCCTGTTGTATCTACTGTTCTATTACTGTGAGGAGACACCAGGATCAGGGCATCTTAGAAAAGAAAGCATTTAATTGGGGCTTGCTTACAGTTTCAGGGGCTTAGTTCATGACTATCATGGCAGGGGACGGCAGTAGCTTAGAGGTTATATCTGACCCAAAAGCTGGGGGTTGGGGGGGAAAGAAAGCGAGCACCCATGAGGACCATTCTCATTCAAACCACATGGTTCCCTCTTTTGTTTTTCTTACTTTGTTTGTGGTCCTGGAATTGGGCCACAAATTTGGGCCAGTGATTGCACTTGCTAGGTTCCTGAAAGCATGATTCTAAATACTCAGTGTCCTCTTTGCACAGCAAGGAAGTTTAGGGGTGAAAAATTGCCGAAGGGTTGTTTACAAATGTGTACCTTCATGGAATTGCCTCTATATCATTTGTTGTTGTTAAGTTCACTGGATTAAGTGGCTCAGGACGGAAGTTTTGGTACTTGATCTAGGTCCTTTTGTAACTACAACATTTTAGAAGCCTTGGTCATCTGTCCATCTCAGTGTGTCTTAAGTTACGTTTAGTCCGTCAGGTGATTTCTGCTGTCTCACAGAGCCTTGTGTCTTACGCTCTAGTTGTTGGGGAAAAAGAGAAAGCCAGTGGCACTGTGAACATCCGCACCAGGGACAATAAGGTCCACGGGGAGAGAACTGTCGAGGACACTGTGGCGCGACTGCAGCAGCTCAAGCTAACCCGCAGCAAGCAGGCGGAAGAGGAATTTTAACAGGGACATCGCCGGCACTGGCTGAGCCTAAAGAAGACCAGTGCTCCATCCCATAACCTAGTGCCCTGGGAAACTTGAGTTTATAATGAATGTGGAATAATTCTACAGTCCGCATGAGTCAGTCTTTTTGATTTGGACAAGTCGTAAAGAATGTGTTAGATGGGGGTCAGTAAAGGAACCATTAAAATTATTTTATTCATTAAATGTCTCAGCAATGGAAAATCAGGGGGCATGTTTTAATGTAACAGTTACTTTGTATGAATTCAATCAATTAAAAACTAAAAAAATTTAAAATGTGCTTAAAGAAAAACCAGGATTGAATTATGGTGTGAAAATTTACTGCTGCAGATATCAAGACCTCATTATCCTCGTGTTTCTGTAGAAGCACCGGGGTCAGTGTGCCTCCGTGTCCAGCAGGAAGTGCAAGTGTTTGGGAGGGCAGGTCATAGCATTCTGATTCCCAAATGGGATGGAGCTGGCTGCTGGCTTGTTAGTGGTAAGGTAAACATTTCCTTTTGAGATGACACTTTTGTTTTCCTTTTGGATAGAGACCTTTAAATGACTTAAAACAATGTTGTACAAACTCTTAGGGACATGTCTTCAAAGAAAGCTGCCTATGGAAGACTGTTCCTTGTCAAGTGGGTTCTCTGTTATGATGAATACTTTTTAAATTTTTCTATCAGCAAGTCATTTATGGAGCAAAGGAAATTCTTGTATCATTATGTATTATTTCCCTCTTATTTTAGTCATTTTCAGAAGTCATCTTGTCGCATCTGAAACCCAACAAAGAGAAGCATACATAGGTTAATCCTCTAATAAAGGAGGTGACATCTGTCTTGGCTTTGTTTTTTTGGCAATTTCCTATCCGACGCTCCTGAGGGCTTTAAGAGCTATGCTTTGGTAGGGTTGTCAAAACTTTAAAACAGATTTTGTATCCTGTGATGTCATCTTCTGATCCATTTACTGATTTGTATTTGTTCATTCCATCGATTAGAAAGTTCATGTTTTCGGGACTGAGGATGAATGACTGCCTACAGCAAGCTGGGTCATGCTCTTCTACTGAGCCACACTTCCAGAGTACTGCATGTTGTAAATGCCTTCTGGGCAAACAGTTTTACTAATTTCAGTGTCTCTGGACCTTTTAATGCATTTGCTGATTCACTTTCATGTGTGACTTTGAGTTACAAGTCTGGTATGTCAAGACTGCTTTTGGACAATCAACTTCCTTAATTTGTATTTTATTGAAGGAGCTGGTATGCCAAAAAACACTCTGGAGATAGAGCTGGCCAATTAAGTGAAAGCAGAAGCCTCCTTGTAGACCTTTTAAAATTTTATTTCTTGTGCATGTATGCACTGTTGGTGCAGTTTTAGCTCTCTCTGTCAAGAGAATACATACACATTTACTAATGGAACATTTAATTTCTAATGTGTTCTCAGGTTTTAAACATTTACTTGAAATGATTATTCATAGAGCTGAAATCAACCAGCAGCAACCACCAATTTTAGTATCCTAATATATAATAAGGACACTTGTATTTATTAGTTTAGATATCATGTGTGACTCCATAACAGAATTCCATCCATTTTGTTATTTGCTGTGGCAGCTTGCCCACCAAAGAGATAAGAAGCTTGACTGACTAGTGTCAAGTCTGCAAGTTTACTACCTGCTGTGTGGGTTGGACTTGGTAAAGGGGAGGAATTTGTGCTTTCCCTGCCTTATACTTTGCATAGAAAGCGTTCTGAATGACTTCTGCAATCTCAAAGTGGCTGTGAAAATGAAAAGCACATTTTGATGTAGTTAACCAGTAGAGCACCTGGGGTCAGCTGTGTGCGGTGGCACATGGATATGTGTAGTCCCGGTTACTGTGTAGGGCAGGAGGACCCCACATGTTTGAGATTCATGTGGGCAGCAGTGAGATCCTGAAAACAAACCACTTATGTCATGTGGTAGACCTGATAAACTGGAATGGAATCCCAAACTCTGGATGGAGGCCCAGGGAATGGGTGAGAGAAATCACCATTTGACTAAATTATTGTGGCCAGATTTCCAATAGTGGTCCCTAACTTACATATGCAGTTTCAGCAAAGGTGGCCATTTTCCTATCATCTTTTTGAGATCATTTTTAGTTACCAGGACTGAACATCCTCCTGTTTTTGGATTTCACAGAAGTTTAGTCTTTTAATTCCATCTCTTGACATCTCCCGCCCCTGGCTCTTCTTATGATGTCCATGGCCAGCCAATCATTTACAGACCTTTCCCCAACACTCTCTTTGCATGCATGTCCTGCTTAACCTATTGTGTAAGTACCTAGCCTCTTCTCCAGTTCTAGAGTTACAAGGTCCTGTGTAAGAAGAGAACTGTCTGAAGTAGGGAGAATTTGAGCCACTGCCTACTGGGGATTTCTACTCGAAGCTGCTCCTGATTTGTCTGCACAGGTGTAGCTCAAGGCCCTCAATAAGAAGTACATCTCCCTTCAGATCTGTCTTTCTCAGCTTATTTGGGCATCTGGAAAGCACACTTTCCAACTGTCACACTCCATGTGCTGGTGGCTCATGCTAATTCCTTAAAGGTTGGCAAAGGCGGATGGATCTTTGTGAGTTCAGTTCAAGGCCAGCTTGGTCTACAGAGAGTTCCAGGACAGGACAGGCTCAAAACAATACAGAGAAACCTTGTCTTCAAAAACCAAAAAAAAAAAGAAAAGAAAAAGAAAAAAAGTAGCTCACACCAGTGCCACTATCTCTCCTTGAATTATGTCTTCCTCCTTTTAAAGCTAACCACATTAAAACAGTTGGACTTATGGACTCAGGTATGATCTGTGAAGTGAAAAAGTTGGGTTGGTATCCTAACCGCAACTTGTGGTTGAACAACCTTGGGCAAATATAACTTCTCTGAGCCTTTTGCTGCTGGTCAAATGTGTGTACTGTATCTTGTGGTGTGCAACTGTTATGACAAGTTTACAATTTTTGTTTCATATAAGACAGTATTGATATTGCTCATCTGCTCCTGCCTCAATAGTTATCCCCTTTATATTAACTTCTCAGTTGCCTCTGACCGCTCAAGCTAAAAGAACCAACGTCTTTTTTTCTATATTGTATGTATTCTGTGCCCCTCAGTTCAGACTACAGCTTTAACAAAACCAACGTGTATTTTCCAGAGAGCAAAAAGTGCTCGTGGTTGCACTGAGAACTCAGGCTCTAATGATAGAACTAGTCTGGGCAGTGAACACACTGGATGTGATCCTTGCTGATCTAGCAAGAGAAAAAAACTCAACACACTTTCACTGCTTAGGTATAGTTGACAGAGCATTGAGTGTGGAGGGGGCATGAGGCCGCAGAATCCGGAACGCAGGGCTGTGGAGAACGGAAGGAATGGACTGATAGTCAAGAGGTATCCAAAGGAGAGGTGCCTGGACCAGTGGAGGAGAAGCAGCAGCAGGGCCAACAGGATGACCAGACTGAACAAAAGAATGAGAAGCTGAGTGAAAAAGAGATTCAATTTAGATCAGATTCACAATCGACTGTATGAGTATTACAGAAACAGGAAGTCGTTTATTGGAGGTTTTGGTAAAACTTGTTTCCCAAGGAGTGATTTTTGAAGTTGTCAACTTCTACAAGTGCATTATGTATCGACAGCAACACTAAGGAGTCTGTCTCTGGCTTCTGATACCCAGTATTTACTCTGGTGAAGTTTGAACCCTAAAATATAATAAATAAATTGTTTACCTTCAGACAGCAGAGGGCAGCCTTACACTCTATCCAGCTAGATGCAGGCACTAAACAAGGTTGGAGCAATCAGTTACCTTAAGGTTAGCTTGAACTAACTTGAACCACATTGTCCCATCACTGGAGAGGAGTAATGGACTTCAGCAACATCAGTGAACCGCATTTGTAAGTTGCAACAGGGCTTTCCCTGGTCATTCTCAGTAGCCTCTAGTGGAATATCAATGTGGCATAGCCAATATTGGGAAGTATACAAGAGGCAACAAAGAGACTGGCAAGGGTATTGGGGCTGTCCCTGTCACCTCTGATGGAGAAGGGATGAAGGAGAGTGAAGTGTCGGGGGTCCAGATTCGGTGGGGTGATGTCTGGTTTGTGAGAACAGAAGCAAATGCTAAGGAGGAATAAACCCCTGTGCGCACTTCACAGGAGCAAAGCTGCACCATAGTATAGAGCAGTTAACAGTGAAGCCTGTCAAGACAAGATTCCAAGGGGAGGAACACTGTCATTCCGCTTTAAAATAGTCCAGCACAGGAACATTCTTGGAGGTCTGTGAAATGCTAGCAGGGTGTTATCAGGATCCCATCCATCAGATCACTTGCAGTGCAGGTTGCTGCAAAAATGTAGGAACCTACACATTGTGACAGTCTGATGACAAGCCCAGCACTCTCCATTCTCCACTGGAATAGACAGCCTAGTATTTCTTTCAGCCTCCCAGCACCTTCTAGGGGTGGGATGGGGTTGAAGCTAAGGTATTTTGCATACTACATATGCACCAGTGAGCTACTTCCCAGCCCTCTTTTTACTTTGAGATAGACTCTCATTAATTTGCAGAGGCTGGTCTTGAACTTACCTTATATCCAGGTAGATCTTGAACCTGTGATCTTCCTGCCTCAGCCTCCTCCCAAAGAGCTGGGAGTGCATGGATATGTTTCTAACTGAACTTTTATAAACTGTTTTTTTTGGGGGGTTCCCTATAAACTGTAGGTGATTGAAATTGAACTCAGGATCACTACAGGTCATAGTAGGCTAGCAGGAGGGCAGAAATCTTAGGTTAACATGTATAGGTCTGGGTTTTTTACATACCTGCATGAAATTATATTCTGTGGCTGTATCACAGTTTAATTCAGAAACTATTAGGAACTTCAAGTTGTCACTGTTTGTTTTGAATTTTCAATTTTATTTTTGTTGCTGTGTAAACTATGCTTCAAAAAATGTTGTTTACATGCATTGCTATATGATGCTCTTCACAAAGAACAGTGTCTCAGAAGTGGGGTTCAAGGCCAGAAAAATCTTCCTGCTGTTCTGTTCCCCCCTATTTTTATTACTTTTTTTTTTTTTAGAAAAAAGCTTGCTTCACATGTCAATCCCAGCTCCCTCTCCTTCCCCTCCTCCCACATCCCCCTCCCAGCCTCCCACCCTATCCCTGGTTCCTTTCACATAGGGGATATCCAGAGTCTGTCATTTCATTCAGGGCAGGGTCCAGGCCCTCCCCCAAGAGTCCAGGCAGAGAGAGCATCCCTCTTGGTGTTATTGTCCATTTGTATGCCAGGGATAAATACTGATCTACTGCCCAGGGACCCATAGGTTACCCAGGCCTCTTAACAGACTTCCACATTCAGCGGGTCTGGATCAGTCTCATGCTGGCTTCCCAGCTGTCAGTCTGGGGTCCAAGAGCTCCCCCTTGTTCCGGTCAGTTGTTTCTGCTGGTTTCATCAGCCCACTCTTTCCCATTTGCTCATCACTCCTCCCTCTCTGCCACTGGGTTCCAGGGGTTCAGCTCAGTGTTTAGCTGTGGGTGTTTGCCTCTGCTTCCATCAGTCACTGGATGAAAGTTCTAGAATGGCATATAAGGTAGTCATCAAGCTCATTATCGGGGATGGGCATTTAAGGTAGTCTCTCCACTGTTTCTTAGTTTGCCAGTTGGTGTCATCCTTGTAGATCGCTAGAGGTCTCACTGGTGCCAAATCTCTCTTCAGACCTATAATGACTCCCTTTATTATGGTATTTCTCATTCTATTTTCCCCCTATTCTTCCCCCAACTCAAGCTTCTTGCTCCCCCATGATCTCCTCTCTCCTCCTCTTTTCCCCCTCTCTTTTTCCCAATCTCACTCCCC